CGGCGATCTGTCCGGATATGCTATCCGGATAGCCGCTGATCTCAACGGTCGCCCGAACTCAGCTGAAGGGTCGGTAGAGATCCGAAACGACTACATTTCACTAGATATTTGTATAGAAATCATAGGATTGCATAGGGGGAGCCGAAAAGGCTCCCAGAAGATAACAGAGCAGAATTTTCCTAGTCCAAGACACGTGTACACTTTTCCGGTAAGTCCCTGCATATGGCTGGATTATGCCTGCCGTCAATACTCGAGAGGCATAGCTTGTAGGGTATTGACTGGTAGCGCCAAGAGATTAGGTCGGTCCGGGATAGGACAAAGTCTCGCTACGCGCGAAAGAAAGCCCCGCATACTCAGCGGGCCGGTACGTCGGATAGCCCGGGTGCCGTAACACTTCTAGCTGAGCAGCCTCTGCGCTCGGTGACCTGTAAAGCGCTCGCGCGCCGTCGTCCATCCTTTGGTGGAGGACACAGGGTAGTGAACGAGCTCAGCCGAACCAAACTCGGCGGAGCCTCGGAAGTGATCTGACTTGGTTAGTCGGAACCGAGTGGAAGCGAGCCACTCGTCTGTCCCGGAAGAGCCGGTCCGCGAGGGGACCACCCTCTGCGCAGGCCCATACAACCGCCGACCTAACTCGGTGATTAGTTGTGGTTTGTGTAAGGAATCCACATCTGACGGTATTTGTGTGTTCTACTACACCACAGGGCTCATTTACCGGTTCACTGGACTGGAAGTTCGACGGTCTGACCGTCCCGCGTTTGGGTGGAGTTAGAGTGCTCAGCGTGAAGAGAGCGGCGTCGGAGGTCTCCGTGGTGGCTACGGTCCGGGAATAGCCGCCACGACCCCGGTGCCTACGAGGTCTGTGAGTTGCCCTCGCCCGAGTGGTGTCCGTTTTGCGACTTCTTCGTCGGGTATGATGCCGAGTACCGCTAGGCGTACGGTTCTGAGAGTGAGTACGATACTTACAAGCGGGGCTACTACAATGACGAGAAACAGGGGGGGCAGCGCCCAGACAAACGGTTCCTGCTCACTCGGCGACTCGACAGAACGAAGTGTCTCCGTACCAAGCCCTGAGGACGGCCGATCCGTTTCAGCTGTCTCAGTTGGTTTTGAACGCCATGAATGTGCTTCCAGTGTTCTACTCAGACACGGCGACGGTAGAGAAAGTGCGTGATTTCTGGGAGCTCTTTGAAGCCCACACGGAGGGTCTTCCCGATCGATCGCGGCTGTTGGTGTTTCGACAGAAACGGAAGAGTCGAGAAGCTGAGCGATCGTGGGGCAACTCGAGCATTCGGACGTTCTCCACGCTGAAGGTTCGGTTCCATAACCAGTTCCTAAGCCGTACGGCTGACGAGTTGTGTGAACGACTCGAGACCACAAGGCGTGCATAAGGTGAGTCGGTGGATGAATGGGGAGACCGAGTGTCCTACCTGTGTGAGTCGTTGGACTACCTGAATTCGCAGATACGTTACCAGTTGTTCCGCCGGGGTCAGAGGAACAAGCGCATGCTGGCGACCCTGGATGCAAGCCCTGCCTCCGACATTCCTGAAGCGTGCGAGTGGCTGATGTTCAGGGATATGCACCGTCCTATTGAGGAAGAGGACGAATTCTCGGACGCAGCTCTGACTAAGAAGGGCCGGGACACGTCTGTGTTGGCCTCCGTGGAAGCGTTGGCTCAACCGATGAAGCGTTTCATGCAGCAGCAGCAACAGTGGCAGCAACAATTAGCGCAGAATCAATGGAGTGCTCCTCGTTCCCCTCGTGACCGTGGTCGTGTGATGTCTGCTGTCTCGAAAACCGTTCCTGCCGAGGGACGGGTCGGGGGCCAAGTTAGATAGCTCTTCGGTGGACTGGCCTTCGGGTGAGATTATTGACTGTCGCAGCCTAGCGATGGGGTGCCTGTTTGATGTCGTTGTATAAACAGAGGCCAGGGGTCGTGGTCACCTGCGAACGAGCGACCCAGAGAGTGCAAGAACACCGTGGTGTATTGGGCTATGTCCAGGTCGGAGTGGGAAGCTCCCCAGAAACTACAGTGGGAATCAAGGTGGAGGGTACGGCTCTCGACCGTCCCGGGGATGTGACTTCTGCAACGACCCTCGCCATACCATAGCCGGATGCCCCCTGATTGGAACCCTGCGCTCGATGGTGCCGCAAAATGCCAATCCTGGTCCGACGCCGAGTCAGCCTGCTCTTCGTCAATGATGGGGGCTATAGGAGAGAGAAGGAGGAGCCACTCCTTCCTCAAGTCTAGATAATGACTTAAGTGACGGTAGCGAGAGGAGAGCAAGAATGAGAGCGCTTGCAGCCGTCGAGATGGACGATATTGAGGAAGCGGGGAACGGAAGGAATGACTGTGTGACGGCTATGGAGATAAAGCGCGAAACGTCGATAGTCCTAGATACGGTCAAGATGGTTGAGGACGCTGAGAGGTTTGTTGTAGAACGAAAGGCTGCGGGGGGTTGTGGGACTACTGAAGTGTTCATCGCGGAAACGTAGGCTACTGAGGTAGAGACGGCGAGAGAAGACGAGAATGGCACGGCAGATAGAGATAGTACGGACTGTGTGGTCACGGTGACCGAGGTAAACGCTCCTG